GTGGTGCAGTGGTTAAGAGCTCGACTGCTAACCAAAAGGTCGGCTATTCAAATCCACCAGTTGCTCCTTGGAAATCCTATGGGACAGTTCTACTCTGTCCTATAGGGTCGCTATGAGTCAGAATCCACTTGATGGCAATGGGTTTTGTGTTTTGGTTTATAGGATCTGCAGTGATGTCTCCTGATTCATTCCAGATGATGATACTTTCTCCTTTTTTCTTCTTAATCAGTCTTATTAGGGGATCATCAACTTTATTTAAAATTTCAGAAAGTCAACTTTTGGCTTTGTTGGTTTTCTCTGTATTTGTTTTACATTTTATTTCTACTTTCATCTTTATTATTTTCTTGTTGCCAGTTTCTTTGAGTTTGGCTTGCTCTTCTTTATACCTTCCTGAGATGAAAGCTTAGACAATTGATTTTCAGCATTTTAATTTTTCCAATATAGACACATACTGCTATACGTTTCCCTCCAAGTGCTGCTTTAGCTATATAACACACATTTTTATATATTGTATCTTCATTATTCACATAGCTTTTTTTTTTTTTTGGAGCCCTGGTGCTGCAGTGGTTAAGAGAGCGACTGCTAACCAAAAGGTCTGCAGTTCAAATTCACCAACTGCTCCTTGGAAACCGTATGGAGCAGTTCTACTCTGTTCTATAGGGTCACCGTGAGTCGGAATCAACTCAATGGCAATGGGTATATAGCTTTTTAAAATCTTTTTATTTTGAAATAATAATAGATTCACAGGATGTTACAAAGAAATGTACAGCGAAGTCTTGTACATCCTTCTTCCAGCCTCCCCCAATGTTAACATGTTTTATAACTATAGTGCAATATCAAGACTAAGAAACTGACATTGGTATAATCCATAGTGCTTATGCAGATTTCATCAATTGTATATGCACTCATTTGTGCAATTATAACACATATGTAGTCTTGTGTAACCACCACAACAATCAAGATATTCCTCTGTATTATCACCACAAGACTTCTTCCTGTTACTCTTTTATAGCCACACCCATCCCTTCCCCCATTCCTAACGCCTGTGTTGTTGTTAGGTGCCTTGGAGTCAGTTCCAACTCATAGCGACCCTATGTTCAACAGAATGAAACACTGCCCAGTCCTGTACCGTTTTTACAGTCATTGCTATGTTTGAGCCCATTGTTGCAGCCACGTGTTAATCCATCTCTTTAAGGGTCTTCTTCTTTTTTGGAGATATTCTACTTTACCAAGCATGATGTCCTTCTCCAGGGACTAGTCCCTCCTGACAACACGTCTAAAGTGCGTGAGATGAAGTCTTGCCATCCACCCTTCTAAGGAGCATTCTGGCTGTACTTCTTCCAAGACAGATTTGTTTGTTCTTCTGGCAGTCCTTGGTATACTCAATATTCTTTGCTCTAATCCCTTACAACCACTAATCCATTCTTCATCTCTATAATTATGTTATTTCATGAATGTTGCATAAATTGAATCATGCGTTATATATCCTTTTTTCTCTCAGCATAATTTTCTTGTGGTTTATCCAAGTTGTGTGTATTAATAGTTTGTTCTTTTTTATTGCTGAGTCAGTCCCAGCCTCTGAGAGCTGGGTCAGAGCTCACAAGTTAGATGGACACTGTCTTTCAGCCCTAATCACCCAAAGCCAGGTCAGAGCTCACACGTTAGGACACCTTCTTTCAGACTGCCAGATAGATAGATGCCAGCCCCTGCTGGCTCTCACTGCCCCTGTGGGTTCATTAATTTGCTGGATTGACTCACAGAAATCACGGAGAGTACACCATACTTATGACTACAGGTTTATTACAACCAAAAAGGATACAAATGAAGAGATACGTAGGTAAGGTCTGTGGGAGAACCAAAGAGGGATGTACTACCTTCTCCCATGCATGATCATCAACCAGGTAGCTCTATCTTAGCCTCAGGGCTCAGGGCTCTTATCAGCCTCCGCCACATGGCCATGATAGATTATATCAGGACTCCTGAGACTTAGCATTCAGGCCCCAGGTGGTCCCTCTTGGACTGGTCAGCCCCCATTCATTATCCTCAGGTGTTGTTCCAGCTGGAAAGAACTGAGAACTAAGGACAAATTGCTTTTTGTAGGGTGATTCTATACCCTGAAACCTGCTACAAACATTTGTGTACAAGTTCCTGCAGGAAAATAAGTTTTCATTTCTCTGGAATAAATGTCCAATAGTTCAATTGCTGAGCTATATTGTAAATCCATTTTTAGTTTTCAAAGGAGCTACCAGTTTTCCAGAGTGGCTATACAATGTCTATTTTTACATTTCCTCCAATGATGTCTGTTTAATCCACATCTAAAAGTCTATGCCTAGCCCAAGATCACAGAGATTAACTCCTATATTTTCTTCTAAGAGTTTTATCTCTTATGTTTAGGTCTATGATCCATTCTGAGTTAATTTTTGTGTGTAGTGTGGGGACCCTAATACTTTTAGTGGCCCTGGGCTATTAAAGTCACAATGTGGTCCTATGAATTGGGAGGATTTTGCAGCAGCCTAGGCACAAGACTATAAAAGTAGAGATTTAGAGTAGGATGATGGGAATGAAGATGCAGAAAAATGGACTGGCATAGGATATGTTTTGGTGGAAGAGTCAGCTAGCCTGGCTGATGGATTTGGTATGGGAGGTGAATGAAAGAATTGTATCAGGATGACTTTTAGATTTTTGGCTTGAACAACTAGGTGGATGATGTTGCCCTCCATTGAGAATACCGGAAGAAAATCAGGATTGGGAGGGGAAATCAAGAGTGCTCTTTGACCATAATGAGTTTGAGATCACAAGAAGACATGAAGTAGAGATATTAAGTAGCCAGTTGGATATGTGAACCTGGGTTTTCGTGGAGAGCACTGGGCTGGAGAGAAATTTGAAAGTTATCAGCATATAGGTTTAAAGCCAAGGAGTTGGATGAGATCTCCTGGGGGAAAGTATGATAGAGAAGAGGGCCAGGGATTGAGCCCTGGAGCACTTCAACATTAAAATTTGAAAATTAGAGGATAAATCAACAAAAGATTCTGAAAAGGAGGCCTGAGGAGGGTACAGGAAAATCAGAACAGTGTGATGTTGAGGGAAGTCCAGGGGAAAAAGTGCTTCAAGAGAAAGGAAGTGAGTCAACTCTTTGCAATTCTGCTGAGAGGTCAATTTAGATAAGAATTGAAATTGTCTTTTGGTTTCAGGAACATGCAGATTCGTTAGTAATCTTGATAAATGATCATGATGAGGAATGCCAAAGCCAGATCTGGGTAGATTGAAAAGAAAATGTGAAGTGAGGAAGTGGGAACAGTCCAGGGCCTCAAACTGGTTCGTTCCAGTTCTACCCCCTGCTACGAACTTGCCTTTCCACCCCAGATATACTGAATCAGAATCTACGTTTTCACAAGATCCTATTAAAAAAGTAGATATATACATAAGAATCACCCCATGTGATTAATAGGATCTTGTAAAAATGTAGATTCTGATTCAGTATATCTGGGGTCGAAAGGCAAATTCTCAGCAGGGGATTGAACTGGAACAAACAGGTTTGAAGCCCTGGAATAGGCGCAGTAGAGAGATCTAGAAAAACCTTTTTGAGAATTTATGCAGTGAATAGAGCAGAGCAATAGGGCAGTTGCTGGAGGCAATTTTGGAGTCAAGGGAGGCTTATTTTAGATGGCAGGAATTTCAGTATGTTCATGTGCTGATAGAAGTAATCCAATAAGGAGGGGAAAAAGTAATGTTGCAGAAACCAAAAAAACCAAACCCATTGCCATGGAGTCAATTTCAACTCATAGCAACCCTGTAGGACAGAGTAGAACTGCCCCATAGGGTTTCCAAGGAGCAGCTGGTGGATTTCAACCGCAACCTTTTGGTTAGCAACTGAATACTTAACTGCTGCACCACCAGGGCTCCAATGATGCAGAAGGGGGGGTAATTATAGGAGTAAAATCCTTAGGAATGTGGAAGGGAAAGGAATCCAGGTCGCTGGCTAGGGACTGGCTTTCACAGGCTCTGGGACACTTCATTCATAATGATTCAGATATTACTAGTATGCAGATAAGAGTAGTTTTGATGGTAAAAAGATAACAGAGTTCATATCTAGTATCTTTTTTTTTGCATAAGGTATGAGACAAAGTTGATCAGCAAAAAGTGGGGGATGGGGAAGAAGTATAGGAGGTTTTTAGTAAAGAGGAAAAAGTGTAAAATAATCTTTTCATCAAGTCTCTACTTAAATGTCACCTTAGCAGAGAAAGCCCTCCCAGGATTAAATACATCTCCTCCCAATCCCTTTTTCTCTCTCGCTGGACGATTTGCTCCTTTCCAGTGCTCATCACAATTTGTAATTCCATCTTTATTTGTTCACTTATCTGTTGCCCCATTAGAGAGCTACAGGAGGGCAGGGGTTTTGTTTTGTTTCATTTCCCAATGTATGTGTAGCGTTTAGCACAGGGCCAGTACATAGTCAGTAAATAAATACTTGTTGAAACAAAGAAGTTAATGAAGGAACATCTTCAGAATTTTGCTTTAGGGCATCTCTTTCAAGCACTTGTTTGGACAAGCCACTTTTCCTGTCGGAGCTTTCATTTCTGAATATATACCATGGAAATGATAATCTCTTTCCTTGCCTACTTTACTGCATTGTCATAAGGAGGATCTGAGTTAATAAACCTGGCAATGCTTCATCAAGTGCTCCTTAAATGTAACGGATTGTTATTTTTAGCCCACATGGAGCCTCGCAGGTAGCAGGTGCTCAAAAAGACTTGCTAATTGGGGAGGGGGGCATTGTTGTTTGGGGACTGTAGGTTTGAAAGCTTTGCAGAGGGTTCCGCGGACCGCAGAGGGGCGCGACTCAGGCCAGCATCCAGCTCGTCCCGGCCTTTCCCCGGAGGCGCTAGCCGGGCGACGATGAGGGGCGGGGAGGCCGAGAGAGTAGTAACTGTCAAACCTCCCCCCTTGGCGCCATTATTTAAATGGTACGTGCCTGTCTCGCAGCTGTACGTGCCGGGGGCGGGGCTCCGAGAGCCCAGAGTGGGGCGGATTCCGGGGGCGGGCCGGGAAGGTGGAGGGGCGAGAGGGGGCGGGCCGGGGCGGGGCCAGACCGTCTAGAGGGGAGGGTCTAGAAGCGGCCCCCCGGCGAGATTCACTGCGCTTGCGCTGACAGACGCAAGATGGCGGACGGTGCGGAACTAAAGGTAAAGCGCAGCTCGAATTCACTTCTAATATTCGGCCGCGGAGACGGCGCAGCTAGTGCCGGGGGGGATGGGTCCGACCCTGGGGGGCTGCTCGGGCTTGACTCCATCCGGGCCTAGAGTTGTAGGGAGGAGCGGCGCGCCAGGCCCCAGCAGAGGGGGCTCAGTAGCGGCGGGCCGCGGCCCCGGGTGCCTCGGGGGCGCTGACGGGTCGTCCCCGGCGTGTTATTGTTGTGGGCGCCTCTGGCGGGGGTGGCGGGGGAAGAGACTGGGAGTCCGGAGGTAGGGACTGCGGCTGCCTCTGGGGCTCCGCTCCCTAACCTCCAGCCTGCCTCCCCGCCCCCCATGGGGAGCTGTGGATGGGGGCTGGGTGTCGGTGTAGGGGGGATTGGGAAAGCTCCCCGCCGCCGCTTCCTCTTCCTCCTTTGCAGTCCCGGGCTCCTGTCAGGCGCTCTCCTTAGACCCCCGGGAACTTGGCTCCGGCCGCCCCGCCCCTCCGTGGCTCTCTGCCGCCCCCGCCCTGGACTCAGCTCTCCTCGGCTGCCCGCCTGTCAGGAGGCGCCCGGGTGCCCCGCTTGTGGGAAGCGCAATCCTGGGGTGATGGGGTGGGGATGTGAGGGAGAAGCTCCGGTAAAGTTTAGTGAGCCCCGGGCCGGCGTTGGGGTTCGGCTGTGGGGCAGCGGCGGGAGTCTGCCTGGGCGGGACGTTACTCTTTCTCTCTGATTCCCGGCAACCGTGGGGAGAAACCCCCTCGAAGGGTGTGTGTTTGGATGCAGTGGTGGGTGGTGGGATGCAGCTACCTCTCTCCCGTCTCTTGGCTCGTGTGGAGGGTGAGTGGAGCCTTTGGGGGTCTCTGCACACACCATGATGGCGATGCTGTAGCTGATGGAGGTGAATGGTTCGTGTTTATATCCCCCCGTTGCCTTTTGTTTGTGGGGATATCTTGCTGGCCATGTTGATTTGAACGAAATTCTGCCCTCATTCTACTTCAACCCCCCAATAAATAGAACGTTCCTCCGTTCCTCTCAACTGTACCAATTACTTACGACTCGCGAAATTAGATGAAAGGGTGCCCCCTTTTCCCCGCTTTTTTCTCCCACCCCAATCTTCTTTACCTGATGATGGCTTCTTTACCGAAGCAGATATACCACTACACAAGCAGTCGGGGGAGGGGGTGGAACCCTTACGATTGGATTGTGACAAATGGGGCTCCGCTTGAATAATTTTGGTTTAGTAGCAAGCCGTTTTTAACTAACGCGTATTATTTTGAAGGTCTGAACGTTATATTCCCATCTCTGTGGCTTCCTGTGTGTGAACCAAGCAGCTGGTTATATCCTGACCCAGAGAACTGACATCTCTGTCAGAGTAGAGCTTGGGATAAACAATTGTAAATCTTTGGGGGAGAGTCTTCTTTTTGTAATTAATAAAAATTATTTAAAAAAATTCTCCGTTATAAAGAAACGAGAACTTCTAGAACAACCAAATACCAGATTTGTTTCTGGAGAGTTTTTCTGTGGAAAAGCCTCACTGGAAGATCGTTTTTCCCCGATAACTTTGCAGTGTTAACGTTGCAAGGGTTGTAAGGTGTTGACTTGAGTGTCGCTCTTTAATTTACTTCTAATTCCAATTTTATTTAAGGAAGAGCAGATTAGAATGGTTGGTTTCGTTTTCCCCAGTTTCAAACTATTGACTGAAATAAGAAAACCTCAAGAATTGGAATATTTGGAGATATTTAAATAGAGTAAAAGTACACAACTTTAAGATACTCTCTAAAAATGTAGCCAGTATGTTGCTGTGATCTTTCCCTTCAGATACTCATTTTGTTAGGAATCCTTTTAAACGAGAGCTAATCAGTTCTGTCATACATGGACCACAGAGTAAAGCTGAAAAGCTTGTTCTGGCTATATTGTCACTCTTGATGCTGTCCAAAGAAACTGGTATGGAAAGCACATGCTGGGAGATTTCCTCCTTTGTTCTTTCTCATTTTAAGAAAGTGCCTTTGGGGATTGATCAGATCCCTGGTGTGAATTTTGTTAGGTAAAGTTTCTCTTTACAAAAAACGAGCCAGTATCAGATAGACGCTAAACACTTGGGAGAAATGTTATTTTTCTAAAATTGGTCTCCTTTTTTGCTCTCTCTAAAATCTGCTTGAGTTTTTCCAGAGGAGTTATTTTTTGCTTTCATGTTCCTGTTGTACAGTTTTTCAAATTATAATAACTTTTGACATAGTGGTCTGTCATTGTGTGCCCGATACTTTGAAGAGCTGTGATAAATTGCTTAGCTGGTGAGAACAATGTTAAAATTTTTGTTAATACTTGATTGTGGTTAGAATTTGCTGGTTTTGTTTTTTTCTTGGGGGTGGGGCATGATCTCAGGAACCTATCATAGGGTTATTTGAGAATGTATATATGTTTCTGTGCAGTAAGCTTTGGAAGATACTCCTTTTAGAAATTTTCTGAGGGTTTTTGTTTGTGGTTTTTGGAGGTAACTTATTTCTAATAAAGTAGGGAAAGTAATGATAATAATTTTTTAAAATCCAGATTTTTTTTTGAAGTTTTAGGTGAAAATACAGCACTCCCAATAAATTTCTAACTATGAGGCTTTGAGTTAATATAGTGACTTTTTTTTATCTTAGTTCACAACCCACATTTCATTTTGCTGTGGATTATATTCATAATTACTTTCCTCATGGCCCATTTTTAGTGAGTCTTTTCAAATCTATAACGAATCTGCAAAGATCAGATGGCAAAAATGGATAGATATGTGTCCCTTGTAGGAATAGTTCAGGCTTCAACACTTCAAGATATTGCCAATAAAAATTAGATTGTGAGTCATACATATCAAAATGAGTTCTCTGTGCACATTTGTTTATGAAAGGTTTAATTTTTCATTAGAGGATACCCATAAATGACATTCTTAAGAATGTAGAGGGTGGGTATTTTATTATCTTCAGGAACTTGAAAGTAGGAGGATGTGATGGCCGGATGATCTTGGTGTTAATAATCTGACAGTTAAGTCTAGCTCCTCTTAAAATACGCTTTTTTTAAATAGTTTTTTTTGCATTAAAATGCAAACAAAATTATATTGTCATTTTAACAGTGGGAAAGAAGTTCATTATTTTAGTGGAGTAGGATAATGGAATTCAGTGGGAAGAGAAACCATACTTTTAAAATAGCTGTAAGAGTATCAGTAAATCCTGTTGTATTCTGCCTTTTTGTTTTTAAGAAGCAGCCACTTCATTTTGACCTTTGTGGCATAATTTATCTGCTTTTATTTTAGGTAGAAGCAAATAAATCTGACAATTCATGGATTTGATTTGAACCTCCATAACTTGCTTTTGTCAAGTGCCACATTTAGATAACTTTTGTTTTATGTCACCATTGTTATGAACGTTATTTAAAAACAATTTCTAAAACTCTTTAGTTTTTAAGGATTTCATATAATTGTTGTGAAATACTGCAGTCTTTTCCACCTCCATTTTCTCCTTGGTGATTGTATTATCTTTTTCTTCAAAGAGTCTCTTGTAATCCCTGTTGATTGCAGTAGTGCTTAGTGGTCAGTCCATAGCTGATTAACCTTGGATTTCTCGTGGTGAATTCCATCAACATGCTGCTCCAGGGTTCTTGCTGAGACTTTTGAGTTCAGTGTAATTGTACTTTTTCTTGCTAGTAACTAGGGATAAGACAATAAAATAGCTTGTGGTTGTAGTGGGAACGGGGAAGAAGTATTTAAGTTCTGGAAAAACTAGATGTTTATGATGAGATATGGCCTTCAAAAACAAGAAGAATCTAGTTCATTACTTCATATAATATTTTGTAGTTTGTATGAATTATTTCATGTGATATTTCCCCTTTATAGATACAGTGAGCCCTGAAAGGGTAAGTGACAAAGACAAGGTCATACAAACAAAAGTGGTAGAGACTTGAACCTAGGTGTTCTGATTTCAAAACCTTGGGCTGCAGGCTGCGTTAAAAGTGCCATGGCAGCCCTGGAGCCCTCTAAGCAGGGCTTCGAACCAGTGCATTCTAGTTTGACCTGTTGCTGAGGATTTGCGTTTCCACCCCAGATATACAGAATGTATGTAAGAATCACCCAGGGTCTTGTTTAAAAAAAAAAAAAAAAAAAGGTAGATATATACATAAGAATCACCTGGGGGATCTTGTTATTTTGTAGGTGTATGCGTAAGAATCACCTGGGGATCTTGTTAAAGGTAGATGTATACATAAGAATCACCTGGAAATGCAGATACTGATTCAGTGTATCTGGGAGTGGAAAGGCAAATTCTCAGTAGGGGGTCGAACCGGAACAAACCAGTTCAAAGACCTGCCTCTCCGGGTGCCTTGCTGATGAAGAATTCTAGTTATGTCGTTGCTAATACTTTCCCTGTTATATGTCAGGGTATTTTGGGATATTCCTTGAGCTTTTTGCAAGGAAGATTCTCGAGTTTGTTAGTTGGAATCATAGGCATTACTTCTTGTAAATGTCATTTCACTTGGGAAAATTTCAGAGAATACTGAAAGGTAAGCAGAAAAATAAACAACACTTGTAATCCCAGCACCCAGAAATATCATCTGGGTATATATCCATTTAGTCATTTTCTCTGTGTGTGTATTCATCAAAAAAGAGATCACACTCTACATTTTTTGTAATCTGCTATTTTCATAGCTATCTTCCTAGGTCAGTAAATGTAGGTCTGTATTATCATTTTAATATTTTATTCAGCTAGTCCCTATCTTTGGACAGTTAGATTATTTTTCTGTTTTAAACAGTGCCTTGACAAACATCCTCATGTAAAAGTTTGCAGATGTTTTATTTTAATTAAATAAATGGATAATGACAGACCTTTTTCTTGCTTTAGGGAGCAATGCAAATGGTATGTTGATTAGATAAAGTGCTGTGAGTGAAATAAGTTAGTTCTTGCCTTGTTCATTGTTTATACGTTTATTATTTGTTTCTATAAATGTGTCATATAAGATTATCAAATGATAGCAGAGATAGATTTT